TTCCTCTTGGGAATGTGGAGATGGGGATATCCAGCTTCCTGGAAGTCAGAGTGATGTTTTTAGCTCCCTAAAAATAACTGGGATTGGTGGGTTTATTCCCTAAAAGTCAGGATGGCGGAGCTGGATGTGGGAATGTTTAAAGGGCAGGAGCAGGAGGAAGGAAATAAAACAAATCCCTGGATTTGTGAAGGTCAAGGAAAGAGCAAGGGATGAAGAATTTGAGACAGGAGGCACCTCCCATTGGAAAAGCACAATGTGATCCTTTCAGGAGCTGGAAAACCAAAAAAAAAAACAACCTGGGATTTGGGGATCCCTGGGAGCAATTTCAGGGATAACAATGAATTCCCAAGGGCACTGGGAAGTCTGGAGCGCTCCACTTCTTCCCCTCAGCACCTGGAGCACATTTATCCCTCAAACACTTCTTGGCGGCTGGAATTAAAAATAGCCAGCCTGGATGAGTGGAAAGTGGGGGGAAAAAAAAACAAACTCCAGCCGGAATGTTTATTTTTGGGAAGAGCCAGAGGAGGAAGAGGAAAGGTTGGGGTTCAATGCGTTATTTAGAGCATGTAAGGAAATAATCACTGGAGCAAAAATGCAGGAGGGAGAGGATGGAGGAAGAGTAAGGAAAGATAATTTAAAGGATTTTTTTTTTTTTTTTAAGGAAGAGGTCACTGGAACAACCTGGAGTCATCTTAACCAAATCTTAATCGTCAAAACGAAATTCCCACTGCTATTTATCATCTGGAGCAAACATTCCTGAGTAAAAACTCCATAAAACAGCAGCAGCAGCCACAGCATGGCCCCAAAAATCCCAGATCTAACAATTTGGGATCCCTCCCCTAAATCCAGGCCCCTCCACGGCTCTATTCCACCACCAGGAAACGTGTGGTTTTATGGGATTTGACATCAATTTGACTCTGGAATCTGCCCGAATTCCCAGCTGTATTTTGTGGTTTGGATTTGGGATTTGTTTTTTTTTTTTTAACTTTTAAGGTTTTTGGGTCATTATTTGGTTGGGTTTTTGTGGTGTCTGTTCCCAAATTCCCCGAGGTGGGACTCCAAAATCCATCACTTCTCAGGAAAGGAACGACGGCACCTCAAAGCTTTGGCTTCCTGGGAATGGTTTGAGGAATTCCCGAAAGCCTGCAGCTTCGGGATCAAGGCCTAAGTAGGTCACCATCAATTCCAGGTAAAGAACTATGGATTCATCCAAATTTTCTGGAAAATGGAGGGGAGAAAAAAACCAAAAAAAAAAAAAAGCTTTAAAGGAGCACAAAGTTGAGGGAATTCCTTCCCTGGAGCTCTACCTGAGAACATCAGGATTATCCATAGGGAGGACCTATGGGATGCATCAGGGATTCTCCAAGTTCCCACTAAAGAAGGGATTTGGTGGCCCACAGGGAAAGATTTTCATGGAATGGATTCCGCACATTCCCAGGAAGTGTGATGTCCAACCAACCACGCACACACAACATTCCCGTATTTTTCAGGAGCCTGGAATTCCGGGAAACACCTTTTTTAAAAAGATTTTGGATCGTTTGGGATGATCCAGTGATATAAAAACCTGGAAACCCTACAAAGATTGGACAATCCACAAAAACCACTTGGGATTGCATCCGGGGTAAAAAGTGGCTCCTTCTCCCAAAAAAAACAGTGGCACCAATGAATAAAATCCCAAAAAATCGGGATAAAATGGAACAGACCAATTTTCATGGATACCAGGAAAACCCATCATGAAACACAACCTCAGTCAGGATTTGGAAAACCTTCAGGAGCCTCCCCTTCCTTCCAACCTTTTAGGCTTGAACTCCATGACTTTAAGGGTCTTTTTCCAGCCTAAACAATTCCATAAATCCCTGACCCCTCTTTGCTCCCACCACCCCAAGCAGCAAATCCCACGGCACAGCGGGACATTCCCAAAAATCCCTTTGAACCCATCTCCAGCCCCTCTGGAAAAGAGCAGCTTGAGGACATCTGGCTCACAGACAGCCCAGACCTTGGATGGTCTGGATTTGCAGCAGGAAAAATCCAGGAATTGCAGATTTGGGTGGGAAAAGCAAAGACTGGAAAATGAGGGCCTCCACAGCAGCCTTTCTTCCCAAAGGAAGTACTGAAATGCTCTTTCCCGACGGGATTAATGTTGGGATTATCCTGAAAATCCATCCCTGGTTCTGGTGGGCTGGGTTGTGCCACCACCAGTGACACAAAATTCCGATTTTTGGAGTTAAATTCACTCAGATTTAGGCTTTTTAGGCCTAGAATTGCTCCCCGAGAGCGATCCCCAAGATCCCACACTCCAACTCCAGCCAGGTTGGATGGGGTTGGAGGAACCTGGGATCGTGGAAAGCGTCCCTTCCCGTGGGATTGGGTGGGATTTAAGGCCCCTTCCAACCCAAACCATTCCAGGATTCTGTAATTCCGGATATTCCATGAAAACCCCTTCGGAGGAAGGGGAAGGCCGCTGGATGCCTCGAGCTCTCCCTCATCCACCCATCCCAAGGGATGGGGAAGGAATAAAACCCTCAATCCCCCCAAAATCCACACGGAACAACACTCGGAGAACTCCAAAATCCAACACAAAATCCTGCAAATAATCTGAGATCCCACATTCCTGGACTAATCCGTATCCACAACCAAATCCTGCTGCAAAACCACCGGTTTTCCGCTCCGGCAGCACCAAACCCGGCTCCCCACATTTTGCAATCCCTCTGATTTTTGGGATCAATGAACATCCATCCGGGAAAAGACATTCCATGGGGGAAGGAGCCCAAGCAACCCCGATTCCTGGATGGAGGCACCGAGGGAAGCACCACATCCCAATTCCAGCCCTGTCCGAGCCACCTGCTGCTCGTAGGGCCCCAACAGCTCCCTCCAAACATCCCAAATCCATCGATTTTCCATGGAAAATGTGGTGGGTTTTTTTTTTTTCCCCTCCCTTAATCCCACCCAGCTGCATGTGCCAGGTGAGGCTCCGGAGCCGCGGAGCAGCTGCGGATTTCTCCGTAGAGGTCACTCAAGGGGTTGATTAAAAGTGGGAATAAATAAGAGGATAAAGAAATAACTCCATAAATTGCTCAATAAACAATGAAATAAATAAATTACGGGGGGGGGGGCGGGAAATAACAAATAAGGGAGAAGATAAATAAGGGGATAAATAAATAAATAAGGGAGGAAATAAATGAGGAAATAAATAAATAACTCCGCTCCCCCATCCTGCAGTTTTCACAGCTGGAGGGGAATGCAAGGAATGGGGGAAACGGCGCAGGGAAGAGGAGAGGGGGGGGGGGGAAGGGGGGGGGGGGGGGGGGGGGGGGGGGGGGGGGAAAAAATCCCGAACCGGCGGCTCCGTCGTCCGCGTGAAATAAATAAATCCCGAACAACTCTGCTTCTCCACCTTCTCAAAACCAGCGGATTTGGTCCTCCACATCCCCGCCCCAAATTCCGGCGCTGCGCATCCCGCTGCAGCCCCCCCCGCCCTCCTCTCCTCTCCATCCCACCCGGCTCCATCCCTGCCCGCTCCCCTTTCCCGGCGCATCCCCGCATCCACACCCACTCCCACGCCTCCCCGGGCCCCGCCGGGAGCTGCCCCCCCTCGCCCTGCCACACCTTACACCTCCATGAAAACACCTCCTGCATCCCATGGGATCCATCCCGGGAATCAGCCGCCTCCCGACCCCGAGCGGAGCATCCCGCGGGGAGCGGGATGGGGTTGGATCCAGCCCTTCCATCACCTCTTCCCGGGAAGAAGGGTGGGATTCTGCCCCCTCCCCATCATCCTGCGGAGGGTGGGATCCAGCCCTCCCAAAGCCTTTCCGTGGGGGGCGGGATGGGATCCAGCCCTTCCAAATCCCTTCCATGGGGAGCGGGATGGGATCCAGCCCTTCCAAACCCCCCCAAGAAGGGAAGCAGGGTGGGATTTAACCCCTCCGGAGGGAGCAGGATGGGATCCAGCCCCTCCATGATACCCCTCAAGGAGATCAGGGTGGGATCCAGCACCTTCCTAAGGAGTAGGGTGGGATCCAGCCTCTCCATAGGGAAGCGGGATGGGATCCAGCCCTTCCAAACCCCCTCCATGGGCAGCTGGGCGGGATTCGACCCCTCCATGAGGAGCAGGATGGGATCCAGCACCTCCATAAAATCCCCTGTGAGGAGCAGGGTGGGATCCAGCCCCTCCATAGGGAGCAGGGTGGGATCCAGCCCATCCAAACCCCTCCAAAAAGGGAAGTAGGGTGGAATTTAACCCCTCCAGAGGGAGCAGGGTGGGATCCAGCCTTTCCAAACCCTCCTCAGGAGGGGCAGGGTGGGATCCAGCTCCTCCATAAACCAGGGAACAGGGATCCAGCCCAAACCATGGGGAGCAGGATAGGATCCAGCCACTTCATAAAACCCCCTGTGAGGAGCAGGGTGGGATCCAGCCGCTCCAGGGGCAACCAGGTGGGATCCAGCCCCTCCACTGGGAGCAGGATGCGATCCAATTCCCCCCTCCTTCTCCAGGTCTCCCTGAAATCCCTGAAATCAAGGTGGGATTGAGCTCCATCCCCCTTTTTCCATCCCCTTCCTGCAGCCACAGGGAACCAGGTGGGCGCATCCAGCCCCCCACCCCCCCCTCCACTCCATGCACCAAAATCTGGGAGGGGGGTTTGGAATTCTCCAGCCAAACCAACACCTGGATGCAGCGCAGGTGGGGATGCCCCCCCCCCCAGCACCCCCAAAATCAAGGTGGAGCCCCCAAAACGGAGCCAGAGGAGGAGGGAACCCCTCCCCCTTCCCAAAAAGGGGCTGAGACCCCCCAAAGTGGTGATGGGGGGGTAAAGACCCCCCAAGGGCACCTCAAAGGGGGGGGAGGGCACTCCCAAAAGCGCCAGATGGAGAGGAGGGGGATGCAAAAAGGGGTCCCTAAAGGCGCTTTGGGGGGAATTTGGACCAGGAGGCGCAGCCCCCCCAACCCCCCTCCCCAAATCCCCCCCCCTCCCTTTCCCCGCCGCGATGCCGCTGCTCACCTCTCCGCCATGATCCCCGGCGGCTCTACCGCTCGCCGCCGCCGGCCCCGGCCCCGGTTCGGGCTCCCATGGCCCCCCCCGTGACCGACCCCGAGCCCCCCCCCGGCTCCTCCTCGCTCCGTGCCCGCCGCGGCCGCTCCCGGCGCGCTCTGAGCGCGGCGGCCCCGCCGCGTCCCCGTCACCAGCGACAACGGCGGCGCGGCCAATGGAGGCAGCGCTGAGGGGCGGGGCCAAACGAGGCCGCGCCCCCTCCCCGGGGCGAAGCCACACCTTTATTCTAATGAGGGGCGGGGAGACGCCCCCGCGGGGGATGATGGGAGGGGTAGGAGGATGGGTTTGGGTTGTGTGCGCGTGCGTTCTGGGAAATACGGTAGAGCGGCTCGCGCAGGGGGGAGGCGTGGGCGCGCGCGTGGGCGCGCGTGCGCACTGAGGATTACGGTAATCACGGCGCTGCGGCGCACGCATGTAATTACGGTCGTTTCAAGGCGCGCATGCGCACTTGGAAACACGGTAGTTTTGTGGAGCGCATTTAGAATTCCGGTAGTTATGTTCCGATGCGCGCTCGGAAATACGGTGATTATGTTGGATGCGCATCAGGAAATACGGTGGTGGTGTTGTGATGCGCGCTTTGAAATACGGTAGCTGTGTCGCGCAAGAGCACCTGTGATTACGGTACTTGCGGTGCCCATTGGAAAATACGGTACTTGTGCTTATGCGCGTTTGGAATCGTAGTTCTGGTGTTATGTGCCGTTGGAATTACGGTAGTTGTGGTGCGCATGCGGAGATACGACATTGGCGCGATATACTCTTGGAAATACGGTAGTCATGGCGCGCAGGCGCGTTTGGCAACGGTAGTGAGATGCGCATGCGCACTGGGAAACACTGGAATTACGGCACTTAGGATGTGATGCGCGTTTGTAATTACGGTACCTCTGCTTGTATGCGCATATGCAATTACGGTAGTTGTGATGCGCAAGAATATTTGGAAATGCGGTGGATGTGGATGCGCATTTGGAATTATGGTATCGTGGTGCGGCGCGCTTTTGGAGCTACGGTAGTTGATGCGCGCATGCGCATTTGTAAATACGGTACTTGCATGCCGCTCATTTGGAACCACATCTGGTGTGCGCATGCGCATCTCCAGGTACGGTAATCCTGTGATGCGCAATCAGAATTACTGTAGTTGTATGCGCATGCGCATCTGTAATTACGGTAACCGTGTGATGCGCGGACTACGTTACTTTCAGTGCCCGTGCGCGCCATGGAATTACGGTAAATTACGGTACCGGCGCGATGCGCACATTAAAAAAAATAAGGTATTTATTTTGCACATGCGCGTTTGAAAACACGGCGGGCGCACTGCGCACGCGCGCTAGGAATTACTGGCGTGATGCGCATTTGGAAAAAATTACGGTACCCTCGCCGCGCACGAACATTTGTAAATACGGTAATCCCGTATTTCCCGAGGCGCACGAAGGTGGGGCGAGGGGAGGAACACGCGGGGGAGCTGCCGCGGGCGCTCTGTGCGTGTTGTGTGTGCACGTAGGGGTCCCCCAGCACCCCGGGACTCAGAGGTCCCCCGGGACCTTCACCCCACGGTGGCTCCGTGTGGCCCCTGAGCGCCCCCGGAGTTTGTGACATTCCCCACTCCCCACCCTCCGTGTCCCCCAGCACCCCAAAATACCCCGCTGTCCCCTGTGGGACCCCCGTTCCCCACTGTCCCCACCCCCTGTGTCCCCACACCCCCTGTCCCCCGTCCATATCCATGTTCCCATTCCCCCCTTGGTGTCTTTGGGATGGGGATGGAGACCCCAAGCTGGGAGGCTCCAACACCTCTGGGGACCCCCAGGTCTGTTCAACCTGAAATTTGTCCGCTCCAAACTTTTCCCTCGATCCCACCACCTCTTCCTGCTGCTCCATCAGATATTCCCTCACTGTGATGTCCATCAACACAGCCCAAAACCCCCAAACACCCCGAGGATGAAGCCCAAAATATTTTTGGGAGGATAAAGGACAGCTGGCCAGGGTGACAACTGAGTTGAGGACACCACGAGACCTTGGGAGCAGCTTTCACAGCATGGCCAGAACTTCGGGAATTCAATTTGTCAGGAGGGGACAAGTTCGGTCACGGTGCGGAACCAACCACAAAACCCTTTTATTCCCTTTCCAGCCTCAGCATAATCCCTGACTTGCAATTTTTCCAGGAATTTGGCCGGCTGTCCTGCCGGCTGTCTCAGCAGGATCGGCGGCTCTGCCGTGCCCGGGGCTCCGGGTGCTGCTCACATGTTCTTTTTTCCAAGGCTGCGAGAGCTTCCTCACGTCCAACCCGTGTTTTTTTTGGGAGCAGAAGGACCCAAACCCAGTCAGGTTTTCTCTTCTGAGCTCCTTTGGGACGTGCATGGAGCGGGATGGAGGCTGGGAGAGGGTGAGTCAGTAAAATTTTGGTGTTCTCCTGGGCTTATTCTCCTTTTCCTGTTGCTCTTTAGATTTAGTTTTGGAAACATTTCATTTTGGGCTGGTGAATTTTGTGGAGGTTTTTTGTTGTTTTTTTTTTTTAATTTAACCTGATTTATACAGAATAAAAGAGCAGCTTTGTCCTTTTCTCTAAGCACCCTGATCCGAGAAAGGCCATTCCATCACCAAATCATGGAATGATTTGGCTTGGAAGGGAATTTCGAGTTCCACCCCCCTGCCATGGGCAGGGACACCTCCCACTACCCCAGGTTGCTCCAAGCCCCGTCCAACCTGGCCTTGGACACGTCCAGGTGGAAATCAGGATGTCTCTGAGGGGTGTGATGTGGCACTTGGGGATGTGGTCAAGGTCCCATCCAACCCAAAACCATTCCATGATTCTATTCCTGCACACGGCCTCTCTTTGTTCGACCTGGAGCTTTTCAGGAAAGCTCCAAGCTAATTTCTCTGACTTTTAAACCTTGATTAAACACAAGATGCCAACAACTCAAGCCTGTGAATTTCTGCTCTCTCCGTCACCATGGAAACGCGAGACTGTTGTCTTTTAATATTTTTAAGTTATATAAAGGCTTGGAACAAATCTGAAAACCCCCAACGATGGAACAAGAGGAGAGGAAAAAATAAATCCACTTTTCCATCAAGGAAATGATGGAAATGGATGATCTTGAAGATCTCTCCCAACCATTCCACGATTCTTGTTTGTGCACAGGCTGGGAATAAAATCCAATCCCATTTATTCCACTGCGTCTCCACAGCCCAAATCTTTGAGTGCTGATGTTTTAATCCCATCGTTTAACACGTTGCTCCCTCTCCATTCCCCCCGGCTTGTTGCAAATCCAACCTTAAGGAATGAAGCCGGAGAACAAGACTCGTTCAGGACCGGAGAGCATTTTGTTGGGATGATTTTTTTCTGCTTCGGTGAATTTGATTTCTGGGCTCTCCTGATGTCCCCACAACCCTGAATAGTTTGTAAATTCATATAAAATCTTAATTCCTGTTTGCTTGGCTTCTCCGAAAGGTGTCCGTGTCCAGCTGGGAAATTGGGAAATGTTGTTGTCCCACCTGGGAGCGGGAGCCACAGGAATTCAGCCACTGGTCACAAAATCCTCTTGAGTAACACTGGATTTTGGGTGTGGAAAATATAATTTCAGTCCTGGAGAGCCCGTACGTGAGTCCTCTCCTGGTTCTTGAGCAATCTTCCCAGGAATAACAAAACCTGGGAGGGAGGAGAGGAAGGCACGGAGCGTCCTGGTGTGCTCAGGCCGAAGAAGGCCCAGGAAGAAACCCGGATGATTCTCTTTAAAGAGTTTCCCTGTTGAGATGAGGGTTGTGCTCCTAAATCCTTACAGAATGGTTTTGGTTGGGAAGGATCCCTAAAGTGCACCTGATTCCATCCCCACTTATCCCAATCCCTTTGTCCGGGCAGTTTTTCTCCAGGCAGGTGAATTCCGTGGCCATGGGATTTGGTTTAGGCAGAGCTTCACTCCAGAGGCTTTTGCAGGGTGGAGGGACTTGGAATCCCTTCCCGGGGTTGGATGCAGCCCCCCAGGAGTAACGGGATGCTGACAGTGGGATCCTGGAGGGAAGGGATGTGGCCGATGGATTTTGTTCCTTTGTTTCCCGTGAAAAGTTTGATTTGCTTGAAACTGTTGGAAAAGGGCCTGGAGTGAGAGGACAAGGGGAATGGTTGAAACTGACAGAGGGAATTTGGGATACTGGGAAGGGATTCCTCCCTGTGAGGTTGGTGACGGGTTGGAATGGAATTCCCAGAGAATCTGTGCCTGCCCCATCCCTGGAAGTGTCCAAGGCCAGGTTGGATGGGGCTTGGAGCAACCTGGGACAGTGAAATGTTAGATTTAAAGATCTGGATGGTCACTTCCCACCCAAACCATTCCACAATTTTTTAACCTCGATGCTCTGGAAGGCTCTTAACTTTCCATCCAGGTGGAGGCAGGTAGGGCAGAAGGTGACACCACCCCAAACTGGTGTTCCAAGGACCCTGTGGATGGTGAATAGTGACATGGAATTGGTGCAGAACTGAGGGGTCTGTGGCACCCAGCAGATTTGCTTTGGAAAATTGCAGAGTTTTTTCTTGTTATCAACACATTTAGCAGCACTTTGCCTTTGTCCCTCCCCCCTTTCTCACGAATTATGTTTCATGTTTCTTTGCCATTTCCCCCCCTTTTTTGGCAAAATTGAGTCTTTTCCCTTACTCCCTCTATTTTTGTGGGCTCATTGCTCAATCTTAAAAATTTCCTTAGGTGGAGTTTTTTAACCAGGTGCTTTCTCATCTATTTTTTGGCAGCTGTTCTCCCCCAGAAGGCCTTTGCTGGGTGTTTTGGTTTTGGCATTTATTCCCATTTATTCTGGTGGGGCTTTATGGATTTACTTAAAGCAGGAGGTTTTGGGGATTTTTTTATCTTCAGGGGGATATTTTTCCTTCCCCATCTGCTTGTGGGGGTCTGTTGACGGATTTATCGATTTCAGCTGGTCCTGAGGGAGGGGGGTTGTTATTATTATTATTATTATTATTATTATTATTATTATTACTATTATTAAAATTAAGGGCCCTGATTTCACAGGAC